ATGCAGCAGCCAGGGCGCGAGGTACAGGAGATATTCCAACAACAGGGCGCGCGCAGGCAGACCGAGCTGGAGTCCTTTCTCTATCGCGTGATCCACATGGAGAGTGTCGTAAAATTCTAAACGGTCCCAGAGTACCGAAGCTGTTTTCACGTCAACGAGGGGTCGGGTTCTCAAAGCACAGCTTCGTCAGAAAAAGTTCGAAGCCACACACTTCTCAGGGCACCGTTTCCTGCGACTGCCGCATCCCACACCCCAGCGGCTTGCTGGGCCCATTCCGAGGTGTAGTGAGAACGGATGAAGGCCCACAGGCAGACGCCACGGGGGCCGAACATCGCAGACCAAAGTCGAGTCGAGTCGAGAATGCGCATGCGAATCTGTACTCGAGTCGAGACAATGTCGAATTGTCTCATAAAAGAATGCTTTCCCAATGCGGTGCTTGCGAATTGAGACGTCGCTGGGCTGGGCAGTCTGAACGAGCGAGGAGGTCCGTCGTGATCTCGGCATACAACCATTTGAGAGTCGATCATTTCGAACACTGGGTCGGCATAGCCATCGCAGGAAGGGCCCGAATCCTATATTCATCTACCCTGAACAGCGATTATGATAGGGGCCCTCGTGTACTGTAGCAACCGGTGCCCGAGGCTTCAGAAAACAAACTGTGTACCGTGCGCATGCCACGCTTAAGATTTATGATGCGACAGCCATCGCAGGAAGGGCCCGAATCATATATTTATCTACCCTGAACAGCGATTATGATAGGGGCCCTCGTGTACTGTAGCAACCGGTGCCCGAGGCTTCAGAAAACAAACGGTGTACCGTGCGCATGCCACGCTTAAGATTTATGATGCGACAGGTGTGACGTGCCGTGCGCCCGCGTGCCGTGCGTGAGCCGTTCCGTGCCGTGCAGAGCTCAAAAAGCTGCACCGCGTGCCGTGCGAGTGCTGTGCGCGAGCCCACGCGTGGCGTGCGCGTTGCGACGGATGGGCCGTGCGCGTGCCCGCGCGTCGTGCGCGGGCGCGTGCTCTGCCGCGCCTGGGCTCCAGACTGCGAACGGTGTGCTGTGCCGTGCCGTGGTGCCGTGCATCGTGGGGCGTCGTGCGCGTGCGGTGCGGTGCGCCCGCGTGCCGTGCCGTGCGCGTGCCGTTCCGTGCTCGAGTTCGAGAATGCGAGGAACGTGCCGTGCCGTGGCCGCGTGCCGTGGCCGCGTGCCGTGTTGTGCCCGCGTGCCGTGCCAAGTCTTCAGGCAGCATGATTGCTTACGCAGCGTTTTTGGGCAGGGCCCGCATGGCGATGTAATTCAGCTTGGTGCTCCCACCTCGAGTTTTGGAAGTGACCTGTTGCCATCGATGTGCAAGAGTGGAGTGCACCTTGTCAGTGATTGCGGTTGCGGCGAGTTTCGATTCTGAACTACTAGCGCAAAGTTCATCCCCATCCGTAGCCATCTGGGCTCAAGTTATGTGGGCTTAAGTTTTCGACTCAAGATATGTGGGGTTAATTGTCCGAGGCTCCAGATCAGACGCCCCAGATCATTCCGATAGAGTTCCCCCCCGCGCAGAGGAACACTCGCGTCTTCATTGGCACAAAGCATTTACAGAGAGCAGGCTGGATAATTGCAAACCAGATACAAGGACCAACGATTTCTTTGCCCATGCCGCTGCCATCGAAGTGTTGTTTTTGTCCGAGGCTGCTTGCATGCTCTGCCACCCGCAGTGTGCAGGTCAGTTCTTTTGGCAGAATCCGAAACAAATGCGGAGTCGTCAGTTGGGGATAAAGGAACCGTGCAGGTTACCACACGGCTTTCATAGGAGGTAAACCAAGACGGTGCATTGTCTTGTTGCGCAAATTCTCTAGGGACGCCGTCCTTGGCACACTGTGACGTCCACCATAAGGATGAGATCCAAGCAACCATCAAGTGAGCAATTTGTCGTATGCGACCCGTGCCCAGAATGCTCCGATGTTTAAACAAAAAAAGCCGCCTTGCCTGGCGTGCAGGTGTAGGTGGATCACAAAGGCGGGACCGGAGCAAAAATCACATGATAATTCGGAGTACGTGACCGCATCCCACATGTAAAGCGCTCCTACGTAACCAATCCAATCAGGGGCACTGGAGCAATTGCAAATAGCAAGCCGATTTGGGCTCGCGCCATGACATCCCATCGTTGGGCATGGTTCCCATCTGCGACAGATGCATGGCGCCAGCTTGAGCTCAATTCGAGCAGCATCTGTGCACCTTGCCACGGCCGTCACAGGCGAACCCGCGGTTATGAACTCGTGTTCGCACAGCCCGCGTGGGTTGATGTGCTTTTCGGGGAGGAGTGGCGAGACATGCTAGTGGACGAACAAAAAAGATTCGGCATTCCCCGCCAGCCCATCCGGCAACCAGAGTCCCGCTCCCCCATCGCGTGGTCTAACGCATGCTGACCTTGCTTGGCGTGGTCTTGGTGATGGGTCTGGCAGGAGGACGAGGAGGAGCAGGAGGAAGAGGAGGAAGAGGAGGAGGAGGAGGAGGAGGAGGAGGAGGAGGGTGGAGGGCGGAGGGCGGAGGGCGGAGGGCGGAGGGCGGAGGGCGGAGGGAGGAGGAGGAGGAGGAGGAGGAGGAGGAGGAGGAGGAGGAGGAGGAGGAGGAGGAGCCGCCGCGCGCCGCCTCCCGAGGCCCCCATCAGAGCAGGGCCGGTCGGGGCACGTCGCTCCGAGTGCGGGGCGGTATGCGCAGCACGCTCTTCTCTCGGGCTCCAGCGCCGCATCGATGACGCTTGAGAGTGACCCTTCGCCGGAGTGACCTTGGGTGCTGCGGGCTAATCTGGGTCCCCCCCGATCGCTGATGAGCGCGACGCGATAGCGGCGGTCGGCGCGCCTGGATTTGGCCACGTTGCGCCCCCTCCGTCCGCGCACCAAAGCTCACTCTTACCCAGGGTCTTGCGCGTAGTCGACCGCATGAGAAGCTCGACGGACGGGCGTTTTCGCCCCGACTTCGGCCCTTGGGGCCCTCACAGATCGATCGGGGTCGAACGGATGCCGCGGGACAACGAGGCCGGTGGCTAAGGGAAGCTCGGTCGCGGTGCAGCATTGGGCTTCAGCATGTGAGAAGCGCTCCGAAGTGACAGCTCGGGAGCCCTCCACTTGGCGGTCGATCAATGCGTTCAACGCAGGGCTCGTGCGAGAGTCGTCTGAAGACGGGGTGGTTCGCATCAGCAGTCTCTTTCCCTGTGGGATCGGATGATGTACGCCTTTCGGGCCCAGGAGACTCAGATGCTCTGCTCTCGTCCTGTGGAAACGCGGGTAGTCGGCATCGGCATAAGCAGGATTTGGCTGCAAGTGGCATTTCGGCCACTAAACGCGATCATACGTGGGGGAATCGGAGGGAGATTCCATTTCCAGCGAGAAGGACGCACGCAGTGGTCACCGGCTTGGTCACCGCAGTCGTGGTCACTGGTACGCTTGCCTAAAAGCCCCTGGCGCCAGCGAGCTTGCCCAGACCTCCCTGCAGGACGCGGAGCCACACTGGCTCGCCCAGCAGCTGCTGGGGATCAAGGCCTCCGAGCACCGCTTCTCGACAGCCTGGACAGCACTGGGGCTCGCAGCCGCCACGGATGACGCCAGCGGCCCGCCTCGGCGCTGGCGCTGGGCCACGACCCTGCGCGCCCACGCCGCCATCGACCCGCCATGCGCCCAGATGCCCTCCACCGCCGCGCTCCCCGCGGCGCGCGGGCCGCGGCGGCCGGCGGAGCGGAACTACCAGAGGTCGCCCGGGCCGCGCGGTTGCGGTCCTTGGGCCGGCAGCTGCGGGGAGCTCGCGGGCCCGGCGCTGGGGCGGCGAGACCTGGACACATCCCGTGCCCCAGGCCTGGCCTGGCCCGTCCTGGGCCCAGCAGCGGTGGTAGACGCCCTCCTGGCATGGCCAGGGTCCAGGCTTGGCCAGGCCTGGGGCAGTGGATGCGTTGTGGTCTCGTCGCCCGAGGTGCTGTCGCCGGGCTCGTGCGCGAGCACCTCATCGAGCTGGCGGGGGCGCCGCCGCTCGCGGTGGTGGCGCTGCACAGGCTGGCCGCGCTGTCCCGCCCCGCGCCCGGGCGGCGCCTCGAGGCGGGAGCCTCGGGGACGGCGGCGAGCCTCGCCGACCTCCTCGGGAGCCCCGAGGCGTTGCCCCCGAAGCAGTGGGCGCAGCTGCTCTGGGCCCTGGCGCGGCTGTCGCGGCCGCTGCCGCCAGGGGCCGTTGCTGCCGCCGCCGCTCGGGCGCCGCAGCTGGTGCCCCAGAATGTCGCCAACGTGCTCTGGGCCTTCGCGACGGCTCGCGTGGGCAGCGAGGGGGCCGCGCCCCTCGCCGCCGAGGTGCGCCGCCGCGCCGTGGAGCTCGCCCCGGAGGAGCTCGCGGCTGCGGCGTGGGCCGTGTCGCGGCTGACCATGCCTGACTCTAGGCCTCCCAGATGGGGTCCGAGCAGATGGGGTCGGAGGAGCGCGCCGTATCGCCGACACGTCGGCGATGCGGCTCGATGTGGGCCCCGAGTTTCTCCACGCCGACGGCGCCGATGCATCGCCGACGTCGCCGATGCATCGCCGATGTATCGGCAATGCGGCGCGATCCTCCGACCCCATCTACTCGGACCTTATCCGGGAGGCCTCCACTGACACGAGCGCTGGCGAGGGCGCGCTTTCGGTGCTGACCCAGGAGGCTCTGCGCAGGGGTTGGGAGGGATTCGGCACGCAGTCGATCAGCAACGTGCTGTGGGCCGTGGGCGCGCGCGGCCCCTGCGCGGCGCCCTGGATGGAGGCCCTGGGTCAGGGGCTGGCTGGCGGTCGGCACGGCCGCGCTGTCGCGGGTGGCCACCGGTGGGAGGAGTTCGGGACCCACGAGCTCTGCAGCATTGTCTGGGCGTTCGCCACAGCAGCAGTCGACGGAGCGCCACTATTGGCGCCCATCGTGCGCGAGCTGCCCCGGCGCCAGCTGGGCAGCTTCCATGCCCAGGAGGTCGCGGGCCTGCTTTGGGCGCTGTCGGCGCTGCGCCAGAGCGCTTGGCAAGCACTGGAGGCCGCGGGCGTGCAGCGCGCGCCCGAGCTCGCGCCCCAGAGCCTCGCCAGTATCGCCTGGGCGGCGGCGACGGCCAGAGCCTCTGCGGCGCCAGGGGGCACCGCGGGACCGCTGCTGCAGGCGGTCTCCGCCGAAGCGGTGCGGAGGGGGATGGCGGAGTGGACCGTGCGGAGCGTGGTCAACACGGTCTGGGCCGTGGCCGCGGCCTCCGCACGCGACGTGCCTGGGCTCGTGGGCGCCGCTCTCGAGGCGTTGCGGGCCGCCCGAGAGGACGAGCTGTGGACTGCGAGGCACATACCCAGCGTGGCTTGGGCCTTGGCAGTGTTGCCCGCGCGGGACGCCGAGCTCCTGGTCACCTGTGGGGAGGCGGCCATGGTGCGGGCTCCGGAGCTGCAGCTGCGGGGGCTGGCCAACGTCGCGTGGTCGCGCGCGGCGCTGAGGCTGCCAGACGAGGCCCTCGCGCGCGCGCTGGCACGCAGCGCCCTCGGTCGGCTGGCGGCGGAGCTGCCAGCTGCGCTGGCTGCTGCGGAGGTGCCTGGCGCGGCGCCGATTCTGGCGGTGTCCCTCGCTGAGATCACGTGGTCCTTCTGCACCCTGCGCTTCGATTTCGGCGTCCCAGGGGCTGCTCGCGAGGCGCTGTTGGCGCTCGGCCAGCGCATGGACGCGGCGGCCGCGCCGGTGTGCGGCCCGGCGCTCGCACTCGGTAGCCCCGCAGAGTGGCCTCTGGGCGCGGGAAGTGAGCCCAAGGTGGTGCGGCAGGGGCCTGGCTGGTGCGTGCTGCTGAAGCCGCCCGGCTGGGAGGTCGACACCAGCGAGACGGACCGCGCCCTGACGCTGCGGCGCGGGCGGCGGCCGCTCTCCGCCTTCCTCCGCAGAGTCTCCGGGGCCGCACCTCTGAGCGGCCGGCGGGACCTGGACTTCGGCTTCCTGCACCGCCTGGACACGCCCTCCTCAGGCCTCATCGTCGCAGCGCTGTCGTTCGAGGCCCTGTTTCATCTCCGCTGGGTGGTCGCCACTCACGGGATGTCGCGGGACTACCTGGTGCTCTGCCACGGTGCTGTGGCTGACCCGGGACTCCGCTTGGATTTCCCGGTGCGCGTGGACGGCGCCGGGCCCAGCGTGGTGGCTGACGACGGGCAGCCAGCCCTCACCCACGTTCGCCTGCTCGGCCATTTCGGCCCGCCAGTCGCGCTGGCAGACGGGCCCAGCTTAGCCTCGTACTCGCTGTGCGTCTGCTCGATCGAGACAGGGCGCCGCCACCAGATACGGGCGCACATGACCCACGCGGGCCATCCCCTGGTCTGCGACGGGCGCTACGCGCTGGAGCGGCTGCACGAGGACCAGCGGCTGTGCCCCCGCAACTTCCCGGGTGTTGCCAGGGGCCCTGGCCCAGTTGGTGCCCCCATGATTGCTGTGGCAGGCCCAGATGGCTGCCAGGAGCACCCCTCACGGGGCCCAGAGGGCCCCAGGGGGGCTCCAACCTGGCGCGAAGCGCTTGGGGATTTCGGCACAAGTGCCAAAACCAGAAGATCAGCCCAGCACGAAACACCACATCGAATCCACGGGAAATCCGAAGGCCACCCTCGCGCGTCCACCACGCGATCGTCGTCGACACAAGCATCGAAACCATCGGGCCTGGGACACCGCTGGCAGCCCCCGAGCTTCCTGCACCGCTTCCGCCTGCACTGGGACGCCGCGGGCACCGTCGAGGGCCCGCTGCCGCGCGACCTGCGCGCCGCGCTGGCGGCGCTGAGGCCCGCGGACGCACGGGCCGCGGCGGCGGTTCGTGGCATCCTGAGCGGCGCGCTGCCGCGCGGCGCCGGCCCCGCGGGATGCGGCGCGCTGGGCGGGGAGCCTCATTTGCGGCGGAGCGCCGCCGCAGATCGCGACGACGGAAACGGGTCCTCCGGGTCACCCCAGGGGCGCGAAGATCATCGCGCTTCGCGCAGTCCAGCTTGGCTTGGAGAGGCGCCCTTCTCCAGAACGCCAGCGCGGGGGCGCGAAGATAACCGCGCGTCGCGGGGCGCGATGCGCGAAGTTAGGTGACCTAGGTCCTCCACCGGGCCCAGGACCGTCACAAAACGACTCAGGACGAAGAACTGGTCACAGCGGAGGGCCCTGTGGAACAGGAACCGTTCCCCTCAGGACCCGTGTGCTTCATGCCAAACAGAGTGCTGCGGGGGGCGCGCGGTATAGGGCGGGGCATCCTGGCGTGACTCGGTGGAGGACCGGGGCGGGACTCCGGTTTGAGACGTCCTTCCAGCCTCCTCATCGCCGTGCTCCTCGTCCTCCTCCCTGCTTTGCCCCCCACCCTCCTCCTGTTAGTCGTCACCCCCCTCCCCCTCCTGCTCCTCCTGCTGATCCTCCTCCTCATCCTCCTCCTCGGTCCTCGGTCCTCCTCCTCCTCCTCATCCTCATCCGTCTCCTCCTCCTCTTCCTTCTCCTCCTCCTCCTCCTCCTCCTCCTCCTCCTCCTCCTCCTCCTCCTCCTCTCCCTCGTCTTTCTCCTCCTCCTCCTTCCTCCTCTCCTCCTCCTCCTCCTCCTCCTCCGCCTCCTCCTCCTCTTCCTCCTCCTCCTCCTCTCCTTCCTCCCTCCCTCCTCCCTCCTCCTCCCTCCTCCCTCCTCCCTCCTCCTCCTCCCTCCTCCCTTCTCCTCCTTCCTTTTCCTCCTCCTCCTCCTTCATCCTCCTCCTCCTCCTCCTCCTCCTCCTCCTCCTCCTCCTCGATCCCCATGACTCGCCTGCTCGCCGTGCGCCACTCATCGGGTGCGGGGCCGAGCCCCCGCGGCCCGTGGGCGACGGCACTGCCGCAGGAAGCGGCGTGGCTCGTGGATGCTGCGCTCCGCTGCGGGCCTGGGCACCCGCCAGGAGAGGGATCGGCGGCACGTCTGTGCCACAGACGTGCCGCCGATCCCGTTGACGCCCGTTGACGTCGCGATGATGCCGCCCCGATCTGCCAGACCGCATATGCACAGGTACGCAGAATATGTGTTGCAACGTTTGTTTCATGACCCTCTCTATATTAACAGACCCACGTTGGAACCCAAGTCTGTGGGGGGGGGGAGTGAGAGGGGGCGGGCCTTGTTGAGGAGGCGGCGGGGCTTCTCAGAAGCCCTGGGCGCCTTCTGAGAAGCGTGAAGCGTCTCCAGGGAAGGCTCAGGAAGACTTTGCGGGCGGCGGTAGGCTTCCCCAGCCTTTTGAGGAGGTCCGCTCCTTCTCACTTCCCCCCTGGTCTCGCCGCCGAAGTGAGGAGGGGGCAAACATACGTTCCTGCGAAAGACGGGGGTGATTTCAGCCCATGGCCCTCACATCCTGGCCGTCGTGGTGATAAAGAACGCGATGAATAATGTGTTTGCCTCGCGGTCTCCTTCGCTTCACGTTCTTCTCATGTTGCGTCACTGAGGGGGGACGAGAAGCGCAACGACAACGTCCAGCTCCTGTTCGAGTTGTTGGTGGTCGAGTTCCTCAGCTCAGAGCAAGTGGTCGAGGCCGTCGCGGCCCCCCCCCCGTCGGAAAATGGGTGCGGAAGCAGAAACAGCAGAAGTGTATGTGCAAGAGGGTTTGCGCCGCCGCGTGGAGCATCTCAAGCTGGCCGGTCGCCCTATCAGGACCAGATGCCATCAGTGTCTTCTTCTAGGTCGCCTGCAGGAGCGCAAATGTCAACGCGCTTCGCGGAGTTTGCCGTGGAGCCGTAAAGTTGATATTCTGCAGGAGGCGGCCTGAGAGCGCGAAGGTTGGGTGGCCTGGCTTCTTGGAGGAGGCCTACAGCCAGCTGGATCCAACATGACTCATTGCGGGGGAGGGCGTATCCCGTTGAATCGAGGAGGGGATGGCGAGCGCTGGCAGCACTCTACCAGCGTAAGAAGCCATCTCGTCCACCATTAGCGAAGGGCGATACCTCACATGTGGATCGTTGGGCGCCGCTCGATATCATCGCTCTTCTTCCTTTTCCTGTCCATCGCCATACTACTGAGGTCTCCTCATCCTTCTCATCCTCCTCCTTCTACTCCTCTTCCCGTTCCCGTTTCGCATGCTCAACCTCCTCTATTCTTCTTTTCTCGGACGCACGACCTCCTCCGCACGCACTCTCGTCCTTCTCCGCATCCTCCGTCTCTTCCTCCTTATCCTTTTCCTCCTCCTCCTCCTCCTCCTCCAGCTCCTCCTCTTCTTCCGTGCCTTTCCTCACTCCCTCCCCTCCCTCCCTCCCTCCCTCCCTCCCTCCCTCCTTCCCTCATCGTTTCCTTCCCTCCCTCCCTCCTCCTCCCTTCTCCCTCCTCCTCCTCCTCCTCCTCCTCCTCCTCATCCTCCTCCTACTCCTACTCCTATCCTTATTCCTTATTAGAATATACTCCTACTCCCCCCTCAGGCCGGCAGATAGCGGGCGCATCCGGGTGGTCCCATCCTAACCCGTAAAAAACAATACAAAATCAACATTTTTCTTATTGCGAAGGCCTGACGGCCGGTGCCGCCGACCCTGTTCGCAATGCGCAGCAAGAGATTACGAGGTTGCTCAAGGTCGGCTTGGCTGGAGCCCAGGGGAAGTGGAGTCCCAGGGGGGGGCGTCGTATCTGACCCGGGGGGGGGGTCGCTACCCCCCCCCCCCCTCCCGGCGGGGGAGGGATCAAAGGGAAGGGGCTTCCCTTCGACTCAATTACTAGGTTGCTCAAGGTCGGCTTGGCTGGAGCCCAGGGGAAGAGGAGTCCCAGGGGGGGGCGTCGTATCTGACCCGGGGGGGGGGTCGACACCCCCCCCCCCCTCCCGGCGGGGGAGGGATCAAAGGGAAGGGGCTTCCCTTCGACTCAATTACGAGGTTGCTCAAGGTCGGCTTGGCTGGAGCCCAGGGGAAGAGGAGTCCCAGGGGGGGGCGTCGTATCTGACCCGGGGGGGGGTCGACACCCGCTCCCCCTCCCGGCGGGGGAGGGATCAAAGGGAAGGGGCTTCCCTTCGACTCAATTACGAGGTTGCTCAAGGTCGGCTTGGCTGGAGCCCAGGGGAAGAGGTCTCCCAGGGTGGGGCGCGATCTGACCCGGTGGGGGGTCGACCCCCCCCCCCCCTCCCGGCGGGGGAGGATCAAAGGGAAGGGGTCTTCCCTTCGACTCATTACGAGGTTGCTCAAGGTCGGCTTGGCTGGAGCCCAGGGGAAGAGGAGTCCGCATGGGGGCGTCGTATCTGACTCGGGGGGGGGGTCGCTACCCCCCCCCGCTACCCCCCGCCCGCCTCCCGGCGGGGGAGGAATGAAAGGGAAGGGGCTTCCCTTCGACTCAATGACGAGGTTGCTCAAGGTCGGCTTGGCTGGAGCCCAGGGGAAGAGGAGTCCCAGGGGGGGCGTCGTATCTGACCCGGGGGGGGGTCGCTACCCCCCCCCCCTCCCGGCGGGGGAGGGATCAAAGGGAAGGGGCTTCCCTTCGACTCAATTACGAGGTTGCTCAAGGTCGGCTTGGCTGGAGCCCAGGGGTTGCTCAAGGTCGGCTTGGCTGGAGCCCAGGGGAAGAGGAGTCCCAGGGGGGGGCGTCGTATCTGACCCGGGGGGGGGGTCGACCCCCCCCCCCCCCCCCCCCTGGCGGGGCAGGGAATAAAAGGAGAAGGGGCTTCCTTCGACTCAATTACGAGGTTGGCTCAAGGTCGGCTTGGCTGGAGCCCAGGGACAAGAGAGTCCCAGGGAGGGGGCGTCGTAATCTGACCCTGGGGGGGGGGTCGACCCCCCCCCCCTCCCAGCGGGGAGGGGGAAGGGATCATGGGCTTCCCCTTCGACTCAATTACGAGGGTTTTGCTCAAGGTCGGCTGGCTGATGGAGCCCACGGGGAAGAGGAGTCCCAGGGGGGGGCGTCGTATCCTGACACCGGGGGGCTGGGGGGTCGACACCCCCCCCCCCCTCCCCGGCGGGGAGGGATCAAAGGGAAGGGGCTTCCCTTCGACTCAATTACGAGGTTGCTCAAGGTCGGCTTGGCTGGAGCCCAGGGGAAGAGGAGTCCCAGGGGGGGGCGTCGTATCTGACCCGGGGGGGGGGTCGACACCCCCCCCCCCCCTCCCGGCGGGGGAGGGATCAAAGGGAAGGGGCTTCCCTTCGACTCAATTACGAGTTTGCTCAAGGTCGGCTTGGCTGGAGCCCAGGGGAAGAGGTCTCCCAGGGAAAGGGAAGGACAGAGACGACGAGTACAAAGAATGACGGAGATGACGGCTCGAACGGAAAAGCCCCTCACACACGCCGACAGGGTCGGCGGATTTTTTCCTCTCGACATGGACGTCCTGTCGTCCACGTCGATAATCCATTGCAAAAAATACCACAAAGAGCACACGCGCGCGTTCATGTCAGAATCCTACCGAACACCGTGTGTTTGCAAGCATTTCAACATAAAAACATCAAAAAACCAATGCTTTTCACAAAAATTGTACAAATTTCCCGCCCGGGCTCTCTTGCTGAAATCATAGGAAAACCATAGGAATCTTAAGAATTCTGTCAAATCCAGCGATTTCACGTCATCGCGCGGTGCACTCGCGATGCTCTGTCATGCACCCAGGCCGCGAATCCTGTGCAAAAAATACCACAAAGAGCACACTCGCGCGTTCATGTCAGAATCCTACCGAACACCGTGTTTTTGCAAGAACATAAAAACATCAAAAACCCAATGCTTTTTCACAAAAATGCTTTGGGGTGTCCTGTCAGACCGTCGGGTTTCCTCCGGCCACCTCTGGCTTCCTGCGGTGTACCGGGCCATTCTCGACTCGTCTGGCAATGCGTGCGCGGCATTCAACACGCGCTCGCCAGTTCCCGTCGGCAACCGCCATCGCGGCCGCATCAGCTGTACCAAACCGGCTGGCCGGTGTGACTTCGGCCCCCAGTTGTGCCAGCTTTGCTTCTTATGTTGTGGGAGGGCGGGTGGGACTGGGCATGCCATGCTTGACTCGCTCGAGCTGGCTCGGCTAGCTTGACTCCTACTCCTACTCCGACTCCTACTCCTACTCCTACTCCTACTCCATCCCTTCTCCCTCCTCCCCCCTCCTCGTCGATCCATCCAGCCATCCGCCCTGCCCCGATGCATGCTCAGCTGCCCTCCCTGCTTGCCGGGCCGCTACGTTCCCTCTCCCCCCGCCCGCCTGCCTGCTTCGTCCCGCCGGCCCAGCCCTGGTCTCCCGCCTGTGCGCTCGTCGTCTTGCGTCTCCCCTACCTCCCCTCCCTCGCGGGAGCCTGCCCCCTCCTCCCCTCCGCCCCCTCCTCCTCCTGCTCCTCCTCCTCCCTCCTCCTCCCTCCTCCTCCCTCCTCCTCCTCCTCCTCCT